CCCTGCGCTAACGCTTTGTGGTGATCAGCTAGAAGTCGTTCAGGAATTCAAGTACCTGGGCAGCTATATTAGCACCCGTGGGATTGAAGATGAGGTTACGAACCGTATAGCAGAAACTCGAGGTGCTTTTGCTAATCTCCGCCACCTGTGGCGCAGACGCGACATTACTCTCGCCCTGAAGGGCAGAGTTTACAACGCAGCCGTCCGTTCAACTCTCCTATATGGCTGTGAAACCTGGCCCATCAGGTTGACAGACATAAAGAGGCTCGTCATATTCGATCATCACTGCCTTCGCAGCTTAGCTCATGTCTGGCGGGAGCACCGCGTGAGCAATGAGCGTGTTCGACGTCGCGTATTTGGTGCAGGAATAGCGAGTGAACCGCTCAGCACCATTATATCACGCACCAGGCTCCGATGGCTGGGCCACGTGTTGCGCATGTCAGCACATCGACTCCCGCGACGTGCATTGTTTGCGCGTTGTGGGTGCGGTTGGAAGAGGAGGAGGGGAGACCAAGCGATGACTTGGTCGAGGGAAATGAAAACCCTCACTTCGAAGTTGGCGTCGGTTGGTGCATCCCGACTGCCTGGCTGGGGTCCTAAGGGCGGTGAACACGTGCTTGGACACACTTGCTGATATGGCTAGGAGCCGGCCTCAATGGCGTTTGTGTTGTGAGTTCCTTTGTCCACCCCCTTCCTGCTTAGCATCCCCCTCCAATCATGATGTCACTTGTTAAGCATGATATGACTCTCTTTTACGGCATCCAGCTGTTAGCTCTCCGGAACGATGTCCATCCGTTACTGGGGACTCAGCGGGCGTGCCACTGTTTGTTTTCCTTTTTTTGTCTTTTGGATTGCGGCACAACAGCTGAGGTGTTTTCCACCTCCAGCTAATGTGTAATGATGATGATGAGGTTCGAGTGACCTCATGCGACTGGTTGTGGTCGTGTGGCAGCGGAGCGCCGGTGCTGTTTGCCGGCGTATAACTGATGTTCGAAGTGCACAATTTGTCGCCAAATGGTGGCACCACTCTCCCAACAAAGTAAGCAGCGTTATAAAAGCAACGGGAAATAAATGCTCTTAATGTCTTCAGCGCGCAGTGACCACATCTCTGATGCATATGGCAAGGATGGGCTAATAGTACATCATCGCCATTTGAGAAACCACCAAGAAGGTTTGTTATCAGCGTGTTACCCACATCAATTATTTAACGGCACATTGATACATATATCCAGACACGTGCAGCGATCGGGTGCCTAGAATAGGTGCTCAATATTGGTGGATTTCACCAAACCGGATCGGCCATAGTACCTTATAGCTTGAAGAGGCGAAATATAGTTCGAGGAGTAAGATGCGTTGCATATTTCTACACATAAGCTATCAAGTTCTGTTCAGGCAAGAAGCAATGGCCGGAGTGTCCACGTTCAGTGTATAAAGGACGTATGGGGGCTGCACCATGATAATAACAACTGATGATGATGGCTGTGATCGGTCGGTGGCAGAAAGGATTGCGCGCCTTAGGTCACCGGTTCGACTCTGCGTAGGGGCGGGCGTCCTCGCGGTACACTTAGCCCACGCGAGACCAGTGGTGGTCGCCTGGCAGCAAAACGTCGGTACATTGTGCCGGCGAACTGCTGATGACTCTTCTGATGGTGGGAAAGTGAGGCGGAAGGCAAACTGGAACGAAAAGGACTAGAGAGAAAAAGCACACTAAATTAATAAGGTGGGAACTTTTACGACCGAGGATAGGAAATCGTATGTTGGTACTCTAGCTGGTGCATGATGGTGGTGAGCCACTAAAGTCTCTTATCGATAAGGTGGCATATCTCGAGGTCCCAATTCAATAGAGCTGCATCGTCGACGTATCAATCCGACAGTTTCTTTAAAACTGACGCCGTCCTATTAATAAGGAGATTTACGCCCAACTGTATAATGTATATAACGCACTACCAGGTGTGTGGTAAACAGATATTTGAAGGATATGACCCAGCCAATAGAAGGGGCCCAAGCGCCAATTGGCGGCGGTCTCACCAGATATGAACAATGTTTCACAAGCAGCGGAACACAAAGATGACTATTTACCACATGACCCTAGTGGGCAGTGCCTATGTTTCTGAACTGCACCACAATGTTCTACATTCTGTTCTAAACTGATAGGCTGAAATTTGGCCGCAAGGATGGTGTAGATAATTGCAGAGGAGAAATAAGTCGTTGGCAAGTTCGCAGGGCGTCAGTTGCTCGCCAGGTGAAAATGCATGTCAGAAAAAGCAAGAAAAAGGAGGGATGCTCGTGATCGTTCTGGACATAAACCTGAAGAGTGGTCTTGATAAACTACAAATATCGCGGCATGCTTAGCATAGCTGCCTAGAAACCGCGAGAAGATCGTAAAATAGACAGGGAAATTACCAGCATGCATTTCACTTGTGGAAGTTCCAAGCAACCAAAGCAGGAGTGGAGAGTTTTAGAGCTGCGCCCTCCCATCAGTGCATTCCACAACCAAGCGGTTTCGGCTTGAGTCGGGCTCATCAAATAGTGATAGCCTAAGCTGAGAGTGGAACTCGACACACAGTGGTTGACGGTTAAGGCCTGCCAAACAGCCAAAGATTAGTGAACAGCACTTCATCATCAACAACAGCAGTACATCAGCCATTTGAACTGATGCTTCGCTGCCATACAACCATGAGGACCTATGAAGTAAAGAATATGAAGAGAGAAGGGGGGACTTATCTGAAAACCTTCATGCTCTAAGCAAACATTCAGGGTCAAGGCGCCTACACCTTGTGTAGACAACATACCGTCACAAACAGCTGGCTATCGTGCAAACATAAGGCGGCATTGGCGAGACAGCTTACTTGCGGCTTTCACTGCCACGCGTTATAATCAGCCATTACCCCGCAGATAACTCAGCACCAAACATACTCCAAACAGGCAATCCGACCAGGAGACGGCAGCAGACGCGCCACTGGTGTCTACTGCGAGCCATGTTCGGTAAAGTCTCGAGCCAAGCACAAGGCGATTCACGTGGACTCCAGCGCTTGAAGATGTTCTGAAGTGGAGTGGGGGTGTTGCTACGGATTGGTAACATGATGAAACGGCCGTCCAAAGCGTCACCGGATGTGCAATTAAGGATTGCTTGATTAGGAACTGGTTATCTATCCCTTAAGAACGAGCTAAAGTATAAGGACTAAGGAGATTGGTTTGCGGCCTGCGTCTCTGATTCCAGCGCTCTCACCTATGCAAGTATGAGCGCGGATAATATCCAAACCAGAAAAAGCATTTTCAATTGCAGTGTGGTGAAACACCGGTATAGAGCAATGATGCGAAATGCGATTATCATCGTCATCAACAGCAATACATCATCCAGTTGAACTGATGCTTCGCTGCCATACAACCATGAGGACCTATGAAATAAAGAATAAGAGGGAGAGAAGGGGGACTTACCTGAAAACCTTCATGCTCTAAGCAAACATTCAGGATCAAGGCGCCTACACCTTGTGTAGACAACATACCGTCACAAACAGCTGGCTATCGTGCAAACATAAGGCGGCATTGGCGAGACAGCTTACTTGCGACTTTCACTGCCACGCGTCATAATCAGCCATTACCCCGCAGATAACTCAGCACCAAACACACTTTAAACAGACAATCCAAATAGGAGACGGCAGCAGACGCGCCACAGGTGTCTACAGCGAGCCATGTCATGTAAAGTCTCGAGCCAAGCACAAGGCGAGTCACGTGAGTTCCAGTCCGGAGGGCGAGACGGACCAACGGCACTCAGTTTGGTCGTCAGTGACTTCATTTCCCGCTGCCAAGTCAACTTCTGTCCACTTCGAGCCTTGCGCCACCCTACATCTGGCAGACTAAACAAAGCTCTCCTAGGTAAACGATGACCAGGCATACGTAGCAAGTGCCCAAGCCAACGCAACTTATTCAGTGCAATCTGTTGTTCTAGGGAGCTAGCATGCTTATCACCATCTAGTACTCACCTACGCACATCATCGTTGCGGACACGCTGGTGCCATTCGACTCCAGCAATGCTTCGCAGACAACGATGATCAAAGACTTGAAGACGCCTCAGATCTTCAGACCGAAGGGGCGAAGTCTCACTACCATAGAGCGAATGTCAAACCTACTGCTATCAGTTCGCCGACTAATAAAAAGTAAGGTAAGTGGGTGACAAAGGCACATGCCAGTTGAAATCGGGAAATTGCCACATGTAACACATGCACACAGCGACCAGAAAACTGTGAAGAAGGCCGTCAAGATACCGCTAAGTGCCTTAAGAAAACCGTTTGCCTGAATGACTCATAAGCTCTGTAGAGCTCCGTTCACCTCGTGCGTTCATCCAATTCAGGAATATGGTCTATTCGCTGTCCATCCTATAATTTGCTTGCTTTTTAGTGGAGGTTCAGAGGCGTACTTCGAAACCTATCCCGGGCTTTTTGATCTCTCCTACCTACTTAGAGTTCAGTAGATGAATTTGTTCTGCGTACAATTCTGCCGTCGTTAAAGTAATCTTATCTACACAAAATGCATGCTCCGATGGGAACCCGAAAGTGAGGCACAAAAGTTCTTTCAGCTCAACATCGACTGTTCGACATGAGGTCATAAATGCAAGCTGTACAAAACCAAGAAGACTCCATGTCCTCTCAGATGTCACTCCATCTACCCAGGTATTGAATGACTGGAACAGTTTATCAGAGTAATGTTTCAAGCGGATCTTTTGGACAACCACACAATGAGGATGCTGTGATCAAGCTACATCCGCTGCAACTGCGACGAGTCCTTGAAGAACTTCATCACACTGCGATACGCAGGAAACCCATAGTGAATCGGGATCGACAAAGCTGATAAGGGTTATTCGTTCTGTTAAATAAAACTCAATGGAAGGGAAATGACCAGTACGAGGGGGTACTGGAAGCCTAACCGGTAAGATGAACTGTAAAGGTATAGAGCAAATTAATGGCTAAAGGAGCGAAATATGCTCTACCATAAACAGTTACCTGTGGTTTCAACTGCCGATCCAATAGGGTGACCAGCACCTGAGCTTGGAATGGAACAGCCCACTTGGCGACATCGTTGTACATAAGTTCCTGTAAATGTGTGAGCAGTCCGTATGAAAACAAGAGTAAACAAACTGACAAATAGATTGTATCCTCTGGAATCTTTCCATAAATAAAGAGGCTCATGCAGAACTTCAGTGTTGTTGGATAGCTGATCGAAAAAACGTAGAAAAGTGGATTTGCCGCAACCGATGTTTCCTTCAACGATAACCTGCACACGCGGTGAAGTCAGCCCATGAATCGGTAGGAGCTACTGTGAACCGTTTCGAAGACGAGCTCATGTTAAGAGCGACGGATGTATAAATTGAACAGAAGCGATACGGGATGAACCGAAACTTCAAAAGGCAGTCGTAAAGGCTGAAACGTCAGAAAGAACTACATTTTTAGAGTTAGAGCCAACGTAACTCGAGTAAAAGCCAAGATTTCGAAAATCAGAACCAGGCGGCGCCACGGAACTGTGTTTCAACTTGTTACTGTGCAACATAAAGTGAACTAACTTCATGTTTTGAGTCGAGAGTACAAATGCCTGCAGGTGGCGATACACAGAATTGACATGCTTCCACCAAAACTTATGTATCTTGTAATTGTTTTGTGTAACAGAACAGTGTCCTTGTATTCTGGCACACACAACATGCAACTTGTGAAAAACCCGCCTCCCATAAAATCACACACGTTAGGACTTTCACATAGAGTAGTTTTGTGTTACTGCCATCTGCCGTGCTCGGTTTTGTGTTCACTTCGCCAGTACACAATACTGTTGTTTAAGCTTAATGCGATGCCCATGCAGGTGATCTGACATAGCCAACTCAAACAGATGGGTGGGCCTAATACCACTAAGTCCTTCAATGATCTTAAGCGTCTCTATCAAATCCCCTCTCAACCTACGCCGTTCCAAGGAAAATAATCCAAAGCTGATTCGACGATTTTCGTACAACTTCCTCGTTGACCTTCGATCATTCTGGTCGCGAGTTTCTGAATCTTTCCTATAAACATGACGTCACTACGGAGGTACCGTGCCCAGGCCTGAACACAATACTCCAGATGTGGCCTGACCACTGCTTTATATAACGGCAAGAACACTTCTACTTTAGTGTTACTCAGCGCCCTCCTAAGACGGAACAACTCGTGTCGTGCTTTACTAGCAGCATGGCGACACTGCCGAAGGCTTAAAATTGTTCACTATGATGACACCTAGATCGCGGGCTTCATCAGTACACCGCAATGATCGAGATCCCGCGGGAGAGTGCACTGCAATTCCGCTGCCACTATTGGTCAATAGTTGACATTGGCATTCAGAGGTAGATCCCAATAGTTCGACCAATTCATCACAGTGATTATGTCCTTAGCCAATGTCGTTCGGTTTCCCCTACTGACTAGCTTTAGGTCATCTGCGAAGATATAGCAGGGATCCTCAAGAAGAGGAGCCTGGTCATTTATAAACATAACAACAATAGACCCAGTACCGAACTTGGGGGACACCGCCGTGGGCATGACCCACAAGAAAACCCGCTTCCACAACCCTGACTCTGAATGTCTTCCCACGTAAGAATTCAGAAAGCCACATTAATAGTTGAGGATGCAATCCAAACCGTCAAGGTGTGATGCGCTCTTTTTTTAGGCATCGGCTTGCAGATGCACCCAAGCAGACCTCAAGCAAGCAGACCAAACAATTTCCGAACCGACGATACGAAAAAGAATGGACATCCAGGGGATTCTCCTATTGTTCCGGTCCCAACTGAACTTCACTGTATCATTGTGTCCGGGAGAAAGTAAGAATTGCCTTGGAAATTCCCTAGTTTAGCGATTATTCGATTATTAACGATTATCGCATCGATTTCCAACGTTCCTGAATGTTCTTCTTCTACACGCGAGCAAAATACACCTGACCTCACGGCAAAAGATATGGGGAACCACTAACCTTCAAGTTCAAGCTCAAGCGGGACTGGAACGATAGGATTATCCCGTGAGTGTTCCTTCTTCGGAGGGTCGTTGAACCAGGAGTTAGCGAACTTTGAAATACTGATGGACCTAAAACAAAGACCGCATCACACCCTGTCCAACCAATTAATGCCCACGTATCCTGCTCTAGCAGTCCCTGCTGGGCCGGTTACGTGAAGTAAGAAAGAGAAAAAAAGTAAACGCAGAAGGCAAAAGAGAAAGTGCAAAGAGCTAAGCAAGTGGAATACCAAGATATTTGAGTCAATAAAAAAACTGAAAAGTGAAGGTGAGTCAGCTAGGAGAAAGGGAGGTTTGCTGTTGCCACCCAAGAGCATCGAGCTGGCGCGCAAAACCCTTAACTGTAGGTTCCCTAACCACATGATCTGGAAGCGAATTCCAGCGATCTATAACTCGGCGCGATAGACGAGTTTCCGTCCTAATCCTATCAGACCGTGGTTTATGCAGTTTCAGTGAGTGACCGCGGAGACTAGGTAACGTAGCGGGACTAAAAAGCCCTGACAAGTCCGGGCCAATCTTACCTGTCAAAACACGATAAGTGAGAATCAGGTCCCCTCTTATCCTTCGGTAGTGCATGGAGTACATACCCAAACTGAGCAAGCGTTCCGGATACGTCTGTCCCCGTAGACCCTGCACTAACCGAGTGCCCACTCGTAACACCCTCTCCAAGTCCATTTTGTCTCGGTTAAGACATGGTGGACAAGCCTGAATACAATATTCCAGGTGGGGTCGGACGAATGCCGAAAATAACTTCACAAACAACTTGGCCGTTAAGATTCCGAAAGAGCGGCGGATAAACCACATCATACGAAACCCTCGACAAGCAGCCTTGTTCCAGTTGTCTCCAGAGTGAAGTGCTGATGCGTGTACGACTCCTAAATCAATCTGCTGAGTGACAACAGGGAGTTCACCACCGCCGACAACATTTCGGGTGGGAGGATTTGCAGCTCCGATTCGGAGAACAGAGCACTTCGCCCCATTTATGGGCATCAACCATAAGATAGACCATTCCCAGAGCCTATCCAAGGCACGCTGAATTGCCTCAGGACCCCCCCTGAAATATCCACAATATTCCAGAGCTTAAGGTCGTCAGCAAACATTAATGATGACACCTCTAGCTCTCCCGGCAAGTCATTTACATAGATCGCGAACAACAATGGCCCCCAATACCGAGCCCTGCGGAACGCCACTAAGGAGAGCTTGCCTGAGCGAAAGTCTACGCTCCACCCGTACGCACTGTTCCCTCCGCTCAAGGAAGGCAGACACCCATTGAAGGGCGCGACCAGATATCCCGTAAGATCTCAACTTTAGTGAGAGTCGAACATGTGGAACAGTGTCAAAAGATTTCGAAAAATCTACGAATAGCACGTCTACAGCGTGGCCACTGTCTACCGCTTCGGCCCAGCTTTCACGAGCTACAAGTAAATTAGTCTGACATGAAAATCCTTTGCGGAATCCATGTTGTGCAACACTGAGAATGTTGAATCGATTCAGGTGGTTCTCCACTGAATCCCTTAGCAGCTTCTCGACCAACTTGACCACTACGCTTGTCAAAATGACAGGCCGGTAGTTCGCGGGTAAAGCGCTGTCACCGCCCTTAAAAATCGGACAGATGATTGCCTCCTTCCATTCCGAAGGTAGGCTGCAGCTGTCCAGCGATATTAAAAATACACACGTGAGCGGACCACTCAGCTCAGTAGCCAGTTCATGCAACAGCTTCGGATGAATTGAATCAGGACCGGAAGCTTTAGAGGGATTAATGCCTTGCAATAGCTCGAAGACCTGAGTCTCCGTTACGCTAAATTCAGCTAAGCAAGAATCCTCTGGAACCGTTGAAACCAATTCAACCTGCGGTAAAGAGGTCTCCCGAGCAAAGACCCCAGTAAACTGATCACTCAGTATACAAGCCTTGGCAGCTGACCTTCCAATTCTAGAAGTCGAAGGTCAGTAGAGACAATTTCAAGCGGGACTGAAATGATAGGATTATCCCGTGAGTGTTCCTTCTTCGGAGGGTCGTTGAACCAGGAGTTAGCGAACTTTGAAATACTGATGGACCTAAAACAAAGACCGCATCACACCCTGTCCAACCAATTAATGCCCACGTATCCTGCTCTAGCAGTCCCTGCTGGGCCGGTTACGTGAAGTAAGAAAGAGAAAAAAAGTAAACGCAGAAGGCAAAAGAGAAAGTGCAAAGAGCTAAGCAAGTGGAATACCAAGATATTTGAGTCAATAAAAAAACTGAAAAGTGAAGGTGAGTCAGCTAGGAGAAAGGGAGGTTTGCTGTTGCCACCCAAGAGCAGCGAGCTGGCGCGCAAAACCCTTAACTGTAGGTTCCCTAACCACATGATCTGGAAACGAATTCCAGCGATCTATAACTCGGCGCGATAGACGAGTTTCCGTCCTAATCCTATCAGACCGTGGTTTATGCAGTTTCAGTGGGTGACCGCGGAGACTAGGTAACGTAGCGGGACTAAAAAGCCCTGACAAGTCCGGGCCAATCTTACCCGTCAAAATACGATAAGTGAGAATCAGGTCCCCTCTTATCCTTCGGTAGTGCATGGAGTACATACCCAAACTGAGCAAGCGTTCCGGATACGTCTGTCCCCGTAGACCCTGCACTAACCGAGTGCCCACTCGTAACACCCTCTCCAAGTCCATTTTGTCCCGGTTAAGACATGGTGGACAAGCCTGAATACAATATTCCAGGTGGGGTCGGACGAATGCCGAAAATAGCTTCACAAACAACTTGGCCGTTAAGATTCCGAAAGAGCGGCGGATAAACCACATCATACGAAACCCTCGACAAGCGGCCTTGTTCCAGTTGTCTCCAGAATGAAGTGCTGATGCGTGTACGACTCCTAAATACAGCAAAGGTCCGCAGTTGTTGTACAGTGTTCGTTGGCTGCGATTAATACGTTATTTGCCAGGGTCAGGTCAGGTCAGGTCAGGTCAGATGGACGATAGAGGCTTCCGCCTAACGAGCGTCCAGTTCTTGTGCCGGTAAGTGAATCGGCCCCCAGCACTTCGACGTTGGATTGTTTCTTGCTTCTGCAATGGAATGATGCAAGAACAAGAGCAGTCTCTGCACTTTCATATGCCAGCATCGAGATACACTACATATACCAGTACAACTACAATAGCTCTGGAAAAAGGGTGGACCAACAATTGTTTAAGCCCCTTTTGAAGGCTGTTACGGTCTCAGACTCCACTAAATCAGAAGGGAGTTTATTCCAGTAGTTAACTACTCGCTTCGTAAAAAACTTTGCCCTGATGTCCAAACGAGCTCTGTGATGTTTGAGCTTCAGGCGATGCCCGCGCAGATGGT